TGGTAAAATTCAGTGTCTGACATTCAATGGCAAATTATCAGGCACTCAAAGAAACAGAATCAGAATCAATAATGAAGAGAAAAAGAAATTAAAACTGACCTAGAAATGAGACAGATGATAGGATTAGCAGATAAGGATATCAAAACAATATTATATATAGCTGTATTTTGTATATTGAGAAAAAGGAGAAAAGGTTAAACACGTTAAATAGAGGCATGGAAATTATAAAAAGAACTTAAGCTTTAAGATGTATAAGCTACAATGTCTAAGTTGGAAAAATATACTGGTTTGGGTTATTAGCAGAGTGAGCAAGTAAGAAGAAAGGATTAGTGAACTTGGAGACATAGCAATCAAACTTTCCAGAATGAAATAAGCACAGAAGGAAAAACATTGAAAATAATAAATAAAATACAGTGAGCTGCAAGGCAAGTCCAAGGGGTCTAATGTACATTTATTTGGAGACCCTGAAGGAGAAGCAAGAGGGAGATTAAAAAGATACAGTACACGAAGAAATAATGAATGAAAACTCACCAAATTTGATAAAAACTATACCTCCACAGATTCAAATTTAAAAGAAATCCAAGAAACAAATAATATGAAGTCTTTCAAAATCAAATTACTTGAGGCCAGTGATAGAGAATGTCTTCAAAATAACCAGAGGAAAAAAGTACTTTGTCTATAGAGGAATACAGATAGAGATTTATTGTCACAAACAATGAAAGCAAGACAAGAGTGGGACAACATCTTTAAGGTACTGAAACAAAATAATACTTGCAATTTAAAAGTGTATACATTGCAAAAATGCATCGTAAAGCAACGGCGAAATAAAGGCTTTTTCTGAAATACATAACCTTAAAGAATTCACCAACACTGCGAGAAATATTAAGGTTGCTTAAAAGAAATGTTAACGGAAGTCTCAAGCAGACAGAAAATAATACCAGATAGAAATTTCAATCTACAACAAAGAAATGAAGAGCACTACAAATTGCCACTTCATGGGTAAGTACAATTTCCTTAATAAGGAAATGTCTTAAAGAGATAATTGTCTGTTTAAAGTAAAAATAATAATAATGTAGGCTGGGATATAAGTCAGTGGTAGAGTGTTTGCCTAGCAAGTGCAAGGTTTGATTTCTACACATCAAATGTTAATATTAATAAAAATAATGTAGGTGGGATATATAACAAGTAGGAGTAAAATGTATACCGACAGTGGATGAAAGACTAAGAGAGGGGAAATGGAAGTACACTATTGGTTTAGGTGTGTCTGTTTACACCAAGTCCCAGCTACCAGCGACTTCCCTTTCAGTATCCAACGTCCTAGGACAGTGAGCAGGTGAACCCACATATTCTAGGCATTTGCATAACACTCATCATTTCAAATCTGAATAGTGTGACCTGGTGGGATGCTGTGAATTCCAAATGCAAAATTATTCTTTTCTCTATTGAGTAAGAAATTAATATAGGAGTTACAGTTCCTTTATGTTTTGAAGAGATTTAGGCTACACATCTTTTAAAAGACGTTGATTGACTGAGATGTGATCATCTGAACACCAGTCAAGGGGACTGTGTGGTATGTCGGGGAGCAGAGGAGACATATACAGTGGTCATTTGGTACACACGGAGTTTGCTGTCAGGGTCACCCACAGATAGCAATATGCAAAGGCGCTCAAGTCCCTTCTATAAAATAGTGTGGTCTTTCCAGAAAACCTACACAAGCATCACATGAACTTTAAATTATCTTCAGGTAATTTATAATGTCTAATGTAAAGTAAATCGTATGTAACCAAAAGTTATATCGTTGTTATTTATGGAGCAATGACAAGAAAAAAGTGTGGATATTTTCAGTACAGACACAATGTTTTTCTGAATATTTTTTCTTTGTGGTTGCTTGAATCAACAGATGCTAGACCTATGGATATGGACAGCTGACTGTATAATAAAATGCACCAAGTTCCCTGCTCTTACTCGGGGTGTTTAAATGTGAACTAAGAATGCTTTCGTAAGAACGTAACTATGCCTACAGTGTTTTCTGGTCGACAGGCCACAAAGTAAAAGCTATTGCACAAGCCTCTTTCCCAGAAGAGAGTGAGTTGGGGCTGGAATTGAAGGTAAAGGCAGAGTTTGGGTTCAACAGGAAGGCAGAGTCTATGCAAAATCCAAAGAGACTGGGTGGATAGGAAGGAGAGTAGCCAGTCTTTCGCTGAGAATGGAGAGTGTGTGGTGGAAGAGGTCGATGCACCTCATGGCCAGGTACAAATGGGAGAGATAGGAAGGGACTAGAGTCCCACTGTCCCCGCCGAGGACACATCCCCGATGACCTAAACCTGCCACTAGGCCATACGTTCTAAAGACCCCACCACCTTCAAATAGCACCAAGGGCTTTGGGAGCCATTCTAGATTCCAATGATACAATTCAATTCACCGTCTAATGCCTTTGACTGTGTTATGATAGAGGGAGAAGGCACTAACCAGATGTGATCCCTCAGCCTTGGACTTCCCAGATTCAAGAAGTGCAGGAACTAAATCTCTACAAAATTACCCAGTCTCTGGTGTTCTGTTACAGCAGGAAAAGTGACCTAAGGCAACAAAATCACATAACACTTAAGAGAGTCAGGAAACATAAGAAAGGCGCCAAAGGGAGAAAGAGCCCTGCCAGACATCCAGAAGAAATTTCACATGTATGTGTGTGTGTGTGTGTGTACATATGTGTATACACAAATATACGCACATAGGGCCTATTATGTGGAAGGTGCTTTCAAATACAGTATCATGTGTGACTTTCCAAGTACCCTGTGAATCTCAGCAGGGAGGGTTCAACTTCTTCATGCAATAGGAATATTCTGTGGTATTGTTTGCAACATTGCCTATGGCTTTGGTAGGCTCAGAATCTCCCTTATCTTTTGATATACATTGAAAACTTTGAGTCTCTGCTACTCTTCACATAAATAAAAATATGTGAACACTAATACAAGTACCATTAGGTACAATGAAAACCAGGATTTTTTTTTTCTTGTAGGACAGGCACACAGATAAGAAACAGTAGAATAGATCATTGTTTTTCTCTAATGTCAGGAAGCAGTGGCTCTGGCCTGCAATTCAAACTCCTAGGCAGAGTCAGCTCCCAAGGAACACCAGGGATCAGACAGGAGGACCCTTGGTTAATAACTTCCACAGACAAACCCCAAATTGTTTTTGATTATCATGGTCATATTCTTTAGACCTCATTTTAGTACCTTTGAATATTAGTCAGCTTTCCAGTTGCTGGACAAAATACCTGACACCCACAACTTAAAAGGACAAGAATATCTGGCTCACAATTTCAGAGCATTCAGTCCACAGTTGCTAGCTCCAAGGCAGGATCATCACGACAGAAGTACATGGTGCGGCAAAGCTGCTTAGTTCATGGCAACCAGGGGGCAGAGTTGGATGACTGCAGAGAGGAAGAGACCACAGAACAGATATACTACCTAAAGTCACACCTCTGTGATCCACCCAGGCAAACCCAGAAGTGTGTTTTACTAATCCCTGAGGTCACTCTCAAGCCAATCAAGTAGGCAATCCAGCTTGTCACAATTGACCACAGGGTCCTTTTCATCATCTAAGAGACACTGTGCAGCACAGAAATAAATTAGGAGTTTAGTTGGGCCCCAGGCTGGGAAGAGTGAGACTAGTGACAGCCTCTAGACATATTCACATGAGGATATTTATCCCAGCCCTGTCCCTTACCAGCCAGTCACCTGGGAAAGTCCCAGCCCTGGGAGACCGGGGCTCTTCATCTGTGACGCGAGTCTGACCAGGCCCGTCCAGTAGGACTGCAGGAAGGTGTGCACCGCGTGGAAAGCACCCAGCCCAGTGCCTGGCTGGAGCCGTGACCACACTGAACGGCAGGTGGCTGCTGTTTCGAACAGGATTGTGTCCACCCCCAGCACTCAGGGATGTTGTTGTTATTGTCACTGCTCTCCAGGACAAATCAGAGAATACACAGCTCTGTGGGACATGGATGAGTGAATCAGCTAAAATGGGAAATTTCATGACTAAAATTCAGTAACTCCTCCCACTTAGAGGACATGTGACAAAGTCAGTGTGTGCAGGAGTCTTCCCCAGGGGATGCAGCTCAGCCTCCTAGAATGAGTGAGGGACCAGTCCCTTCCCTCCCAGCTGATTTTCCACTGTACCCACTACTTTTATTCCTTTTCCCCCACCGCAAACCCTTGTTTAGAGTTGTGCAGTGACACTGAAGGTAAGCTAAGTATAACACTCTTCTAAGGAGCTGGCTGATATCTTGGCAACAGTCGCTGGGCTGCCTGTCAGGAACTTCCTATTTCTGAGGAAATCCTTTCGGACAGTGGGTATGGCAAACCTAGTCCATGCACTATGCTAAAAGCATCTTCTCTACCTGCTCCAGGTGGAGAGCACTCTGCTTTGTTCTGCCACCATCCAAACTGGACTTCCCAGACCCGCTTAAGGTTCTTTCAGTCCTAGGACCCACCGTCCAAGAGTCTGGCCCTGGCCACCATGCACTCTTGTTGCAATCCACTCCTACAGTAAGGAATTGCAGTTCCCCAATGCCACAAACTGCCTTGGCTCTGCACTGACACTCAGATGCACTCCCCTAGGGCCCCATCCCTCACCGTCCCTTACTTGTTCTTCAGGTCCCAGAGGATGTCAGCGTCTTCTCCACATGGTGGCTGCTCTACCATTCTACAGCAGGCTATGTCTGGCTTAGCATAGTACCGCACTGCTAACACAAGGCTCTCGCAAGAGCAAGATGCTCAAGGAAGGTTGGGGAAGAAATAAGCCCTGAGGTTTCATTTATTACAATGTAATTGTGAATTTAATAAGTAAACAACATCTAGGTATATATCTTCTAATTTTATAGAGTGATAGATAAAAAATAACAGGACTTAAAATGAATATTTTTGCTTTTTTAATAACTTTCTTCACATTTTCCAGGAAATTCCAGTTCCAATGCCATGTTATCTTATTACAAATAAGAGAGAAGGCTTCCCAAATAGATTTACATAATACCACAACTTTCTCTTAAATTTATAAACAATACAAAATATGCAACTAACAATTTATAAATTTAGGTTTTGAACTAAACCATGTAATAAAAGTAACATTTTAGGGGCCGGGGATTTAGCTCAGTGGTGCTGCCACCTGCCTCACAAACGCAAGGTCCAGAGTTCAATCACCAGTACCAAAAAAAAGAAAGGAACATTTTTGACTACAAAGAAGATAAACCCCCAAGTCATCCAAATAGAAGAGTAAGACAAGGACGACTTGCACTACATGTCCCCAAACTTGGCCTGGCTCCTCACTACACTGATCACTGATTCGGCCTCAGCTTACTTTCAGCAGAAAAAGCTGCTAGTGGCTTGCATAGGCCATGGCAGTAGCTGTGTAAATACTGCCCTGGACTCTCTCTTCTTCATCCCTCAAAGCCTCCTCATACCTGTGCCCGAAGGATTTGGGATCATTCCCACTAATACTGGCCAAAAATTCCAGAACTTTCATCTTGCTGGTTTCAGCGTGGGCCCTTGGGCCCCACATGAACTCATGTCGAGCAGGCTCACTGTTGGGCACCTGCTGGTGCACCAGGTACTGTTCCGGCACAAAATCTTCCAGAATGAGCTTCCAGGGCTCCCCATGGATAAAGTGCACCACCCCCGCCCACATTCCCATCACATTCAGGATTTGTCAAATATACTCCTCAGGGGTACAGTCGCCCTGCAGGAAGATTATGCTCAGGATGAGCACCAGCAGGCCGGTCTTGGGCAAACCCTGGACTTCACTCAACATCCCATCATAGGAGATACCGAGGGAAGTGACAAGGACATAGGAGTGGCCAGGGGGGTCCACACCTTACACATCAACTCCAAAGATCAGCTGCATGCACTCTGAGGCCTCACCAAAAACCACAGAGAAGTGCTTGTCATTTTCAATGATATTCAGAATCTCTGCCTCTGACACTTGCTCCTTCATTTGATACTTGAAGAGCAGGAAATTCACCAAATTATTTACCTTCTCATCTCTCTCATCGCTAGATAAGACCTCAGCGTCTGGCAGCACCTGTGAGGTGCTTGGATCCTCCCTACTTTGGCTAAAGGAATCCTCATCAAATGGGCTGCATGGAGCAGAGGCCAAGGTACTGAAGGAAGAACAGGCTCCCTGAGAACTCTGGGAAAAAACTGGGCTCCCAGCAACAGCAAAATCCTCCTCTGGGGAGCTCGATAACAGAGGAGAGTGAGAGAAAGAAGTGGAGGTGGAAAAGGAGGAGCAAGTGGACAAGGGTAAAGAGGAGGAGCAAGTGGAAGAGGATGACGAAGAATCTTCCTCCACATCCACAGGAACACGAGCATCAATGAGCCGCTGGGTGTCACTTTGGGTCTCAGGGTCTTCCTCAAGCATGTGGCACTGGCGCTTCCGAGCCCGAGACATGATGACTCTGGTAATGGACAGTGGGCAGGAGCTCAGTGGTGATGGGGATTCAGAGGCCCCGGGGAGAGGGTGCTGTGAGCAGCCTCGGCTGAGAACCTCCTCCTTGGCTGCTCTCACAAAGGCTGGTTACAGCTCTGCTCTTTGTGCAGTGTGGAAGACCTCAGTCTCCTGTCCTCTGGGAGGGCTTGTCCCCACGGAACCAGGGACAGAGAGTGAGACTGCTCCTCTGGGAGCAGCTGCCCACAGAGGATGAGGGTCCAGAGTACACAGCAGGGTGAGTGGAGCGAGGCACTACGAGGTCTCTTTTGTTCTGGGGCAGTGCGGCCCTTGGTACACGTTCAGGGCCGGCACCTCAGCTTGACTCCTGACGCTGACGGGGCGTCCTGGGCTGTGTGACCCGTGGGGGCTGCCTCACACCCAGACCTGCACCATCTGGCTCCTGGAGCCCCTGTAAGAGGCACGGAGAGGCCCTCAGGCTGCACTCCACAAGCACAGTCCTGGTCCCCAGGCCTCACAGGAGGGGCGGGTGGACTCTGTGAGCTCACACGTGTTTCTTCCGGGTGGAGGGTCCCCTCTCTGCTCACTCAGGGCCCTCAACTGTCCGGGGACAGGACTTGTTCCCCAGCAAGTGCAAGGGGTGCCGCACCCCTTTGTTGGCCTGCGGTAACAGGTCAGAACAAGAGGCAACTTCCCTAAGAGGGTACAAAGAGCTGTGAGGGGCTTCACATCTGGCCACATCTGCCCAGAGGAAACAGGGAGGGCGGTCAAACTCAGCGGGGTCCGTGTGCCCTGGGAGGAGGAGCCTGCTCCGTCTTCACCTGGGTGGATGGTAAACTGTGAGACTCTCCCTGGGATGACCTGAGGCTTCCTTCTTCAAAGCACAGCCCTGTCTCTGTGAGACACTCAGGGGGAGTGGGCCATGGTCCCTGGCTCTTCCCGTAGGTGACAGAAGAGATCGGCTAGGCTAGGGTCCTGTGTGGCTGGGTATGGACTTCCCTTGGCCTCATCTGCACTCCCACCAGGGCCTGGGATCCCACTCTGCTCTCCCGAGTCCCACTCCTCCTATCTCCTTCACCTCCCTGAGGTCAATGACCTGGACCCCAGAGAGCAGCCCCACCCTCCCCGGGCTTCCCGGGAGGAGGCGGGCTCAGGGGACCTGTGTGCAGCACCCACGTCTGTGTCCGGGGCAGGGTGCCCAGGCCTCCCTTGGGGTCCTCACCTTGACCCTTGTGTCTGCTGGGCAGAGGGAGATCCCTGTGCCTGCCTGCAGACGCCCTCTCAGAGCGAGTCCCTCACCTCCCTGAGATCCCCAGGATGCTCTAAAGACGTGAGCAGGCACCCATCCTGTCACCCCTCC